GTGCTGAAAYSATAAGCAAACGTTATGTGAAAAATGCTTATTTTCGGCTAACAAAACTTTGAAAAAGGAAAAAAAYAATATTAAATAATTATTATTGCGTACTATTGGTGCCYTTGCTRTTTCGTTTTAAGTTTARRCAGAGTCTAWCTGTAAACCACGTGCTTATCGATCTCTCACCTGTCAATCAGACTGAGCGTTTTTGATCCAATCAACGAAAGCACTGACTCGGGTAAATATGGARTACTCCGAAGGCTTGCAACCGCCACGTGACCAACTCCCGACACCCCTCAAGACCCACTCACCATCCTCCTTACACGCTAGAGGAAGCCCGGAATCGCCTTCACAGGGGGCAGCACTTCCTCCCGTACAAACCATAATTTCTGATTTGACTTCGGCAAAATATTCAAAAAGATATTGCCAAAAGCATTCATCGCTGTTGATGATGGGTACATCTTCTTTTTGAGGAAACTGTGGCCATTGGAGGTTTTTAGGGTCTGAAGTATTGAAGAAAAGTGTCCCCCAACCTTAAACCGAGATGAATTGCTTTGTGAGCAACTTACAGCTGTAGACAATTTAACAATACAATATCCCCCTTCATCAACGCCTTATTAGCCTTCACTGGAAAAAATCGCGCGCTTTAAAGGCTGTAAATTTAATGTATATATGATGTAAGTGTTCAAAATTCTGTAAATTTAATGGAAATCATTTACATCAAATTTGCAGAATTTTGGACACTTACATCAAATTTACAACCTTTAAAGCGCGCGATTTTTTCCTGTGCTTGTTGATCCACCAACATCAACACGGTACTGGTCATCGATTCGATGATCTGGGAGACAATTATGACTGAGATAATTTTCGATGCTAGCATGAGTACATGTAGTCACGCCCTTGCTAGCTTTCATAAAAGTCGAATTCAGCTCCACCATTTACTTTACTTGCCTCCCCCTATCCCGGCCCATTGCAAATGTAGCTCAACTACCATAAGCGGTGGCTGTCAGAAATAAACTTACCGGCATAAGTGCAAGTGGTACCATTGGTAATTTTAGGGCCTCCTTTCTTTGGAAGTTGAATAGTTTGAACRTCTTTATTCATAGTTATCTTGGTGTCGACCTGGACTATGGCAATGTCATAATCACGTTCGCCTATCCAATSTTCTTTGTAGTCTTTGTGTGAAAYGAATTTCTTAACTTTGTAAACTTTTTGGTTGGGTGCGCGACTATCTCTATCCGCCATTCCTAAAAAACCGCATGTTATTTATCATCAAACAGTCAGTGCAAGTCAATGCCCGTCAACAATGCACTACGCCCATTCAGATATTTAGCAAACAAAAACTACCGCCAACTACTTATCTATCAGAAAKTATTCAAAACTTTAAAATTCATWKAAATGACGCTTTCTTACCAACTGTTACGGTGATTTTCTCTGAAGCATTGACCTTCGCAAAGCAATGAGCCACGGTAAGAATCGTATCATCTCCAATAATGGCGCCTCCACAGGGTTCATCAGGCAAACTCTCCAAGTCAATAACAACTAACCATGGAAAGTTTGCTGCCTTTGCTTGCTCACCACCTATGATGCGTTTCTGCAAATCTTATGGACATAACTTAAGGTTAACCTCTGAAGTAATTTCTACTTTYTCTCTGGCGTTTTCGCGTCGATTTTAAATTTGTGTCAACTTTACTGAAAAATACTATTTTCTGAGAGAGCTTGAAAGTTTCAACCTGACCATTTAGCCTTTACGAAGTGACTCGATACGACAGCTAGCTAGTTGGAAGTACGTTTCGATACGCCAACAACAAAAAAACTTTAAAAGAGCAACTGACGATTTCTAAAGGAATAAAGTTCTGCATCAGCGTCATAGTTGCAAACTTACCGGGTAGGGAAGCTCCCCAAGCCAAGTTAAAAAGCAGCGCCACGTACACAACAAAGGCCACCATGTTTTCCTCGTGTCTTGTCGTTCGACAGTAGATCAGAAATGACTGTTCGAGGCTGGTTATTCATTCTTTCTTATCTTATTCATCTCTTGACTTTTGTGTTTTGAATGAATAGATTTTAACTAGCTAACAGTGCACGACAATTAACTACTTTAACTAATGAAACAATACAAACATTAAATACAGACTCAATAGTCGTCATGAACAGCGGAAAATCCATTTATTCTTAGTTTCATTTGAAACCAAACGGCCAATAATCACCAGAAAATCGAACTCCCGTCGATATGATGGACTTTGACGACTAGCGAGAAATGCTTTGCGATTCTGCTCAGTAAGTATTGGCCTTTTAAGCACTAATCAACACTGTCGTAATTAGTACTATTTGTTTTCGCGTGTGACTAAGCACGTGCGCGGTCTTGATGAAGTCGATTCGAAAAATATTGGAATTTAGGAGCGTAAAAAGAAGCATATATACCATAATGGGAGTTACGAGCGAGATTTGACTGTCAGATTTGTTGTTTTTGATGTTTTGCATTATGGTTATTTTATTTGTTTGTTTGTTTGTTTGTTTTGTGTAGGGGATTTTTGTGTATATCATTCGTACAGCCAGCCCCTGGTAAGGGGCTTCCCGCGTTAGGGTCTTAGAGACTACAGTCATCACAGAGAGGATCGAGAAAAAACAATCTAAAAATTACGGAACTAATGATTCTATAAGGATACTGTGAAGTAGATGCATCTATTGTCTAAGTGTGAAACCAAAGTGACTTTGAGTTAGATAGAGTATTTTTAAATACTCTAAAAAAAGACCTGAGTTATAGACGAATGAAAAAGACTGACTTGAAATTTACGGATCAAATACGTGAACCCTGTCAAGTTTGATTGGTCTTACCGTACTAATGCTTACAAGTTTGTAATCAAGGATGAAGTAATGCAATCAAATTTGTATGACGGCAATTAGCGTTTGGMAAAATAGTCAATCTAACGCTCTCTAAACCCCATAATGAGGTAAGTATTTSTACATTCCTGCCTGTAAATAAGGACGCACACAGTGCGCTGACACCATAGCGTATCGCGGGCGACCTCRGCTGAAACAGAGTGAACTCGGGTCGAAAGAAAAGAATGATTTTCGGTACTTATAAGAATGAGATCTAAAAAAAATTGAACGCGCGGTTCTTTCATTGTATGTCCTCTAGTGACACATTCTTGACGTCATAAAATTTGGTCCAGAGATTTGACATTTCTCAGTTTTGAACATTTTATGCCGTCAAGAGTGCGTCAACAAGAGTTTACACAACTCAAAACAGCGCGCAATTTGTTAATTATGTCTAAATAGCTGTGTCCACTAATTTAAATAATGCGGTAAAATCTATCGACCAATTAGCACGCAACACGAGGAAGATTATTTCTCAGTTTGGCCGCGTCACAGATATGTATACGTAGCGTCTAGAATCCGCGTATTCATACGACAATACTCTCTTATATATTCTTGGCGTGCAAGTTATGTCATCACCGCCATGTTGGATGAAAATCACAAAGCATTTCTCATTAGTTTCTCTTGTTCATTCATCCAACATGGCGGCGATAGCTTTGTTCTTTATTTCTCATGGGATTCCTGTTCATTTGTTGCACACGAAGAATAGCCTACAGAGAGTCAGTCGTTAAACAAAACTACTGGATTTGTATGTGCAATTGAAATATTTTAAATTAGGTAGATGACCAGTCAGGAGTTAATATATGACGTTATCAAACTCATTAATRATTCATAATGTYATTAGCCAATGATATACTGAGAATCTAATCACGTGATTATACCTTTATATTGGATAAAAGGGGCAGCAAGCTCAAAGTTGGGGGGCGGATTTGAATATTTTCAGGGGAGTGCGAGGCTGATTATCATTCAACGTTTTCCTGATACAGACCTTYGGCTCGGATCTTTAAGTATCACCCGATACAACACGCKCTCTCGTTCTGTATACATTACTAACTTGCTAGTCAAATGCGCGGATCAATTAATGACTTGAATTTTTACTTTCAATTCCATCTCACTAAACATCTGACGTCAAGTGGTCCGGAAATCARCATTTTCACTGATGCTTGGRGAGAGGATGGATTAAGTGTAAACATTGCTAGGACCCTCTATAAGCTTTGTACTCTACCGATGACAGAGTACGAGAAATTCAATATGATGTCATCTCATTTGTAGCAATTGTACAGATCTAAAACTAATACGATCAAAAGATCCTGCTTCAGCATTGTCTCCCAGAGAGACAGCGATTGACAACTTGACCGTTTTTCAAAGATTGTACGTATAAAAAGCACTGAAACTTTTAAATTGTTTGACTTGTTCTATTGTCGACCTGTTGTGGCCATTTACCACCACTAAGAATTAACGTATCGCTGGAAGCGTCGATAAGTTTGACCATAATTTACTTTCTGCATATACAAATTGTACAATAATTTGTAGCACTCAGGAGTCCAGTAGTTTTATCGTACCCCGTCAGTCAGTTCAGCTGTCGTTCAAACTACTTAATAGTGAAACACATTAAAAGATACTCGAGTCAGTCGAGAGGTTTCTCTTTCAACCGTTGTAAATATCAGGCACTATGTTAATCATGGCTGATTCAAAATAAAATACTATTGACATAATACGYTTAATTCCCTAATATCCATGGCTTTCTCCTAATTATTGTACTCGGCACAACTGAAGATTTATTTTTAGACTAGCATAACATTAATATTTTGTTAAAAAAGTGCATTATATTACTCAGAAGTTGCAATTAAGTACTATGTTTAACTATCTTAAGCTTCGTCCGTGATTTTTCGAGTGCCGTTTAAATAGTACTGACACCGTTTTAGCTGCTAATCTGAAAGCTACTAACCTTAACCGTTGGGTTTCATTAAGATAATTAATACTCAGGCAATCGCGGGGGAGGGACAGTGTAGCTTCAAAACAAAGAAATTTTAAATAGGCCCAGCCCCCAAATCCTATTGGTCGGACGCCCAGGAAAGCGCACTGATTTGTAACTGAAAACAGTTGCCAGATAGTGAGTCGTTATTTACCTCGAATCGTTGGAGTTKGTGAGAAGAACGCAAACTTGTAAACAATCATGATGTTGCTAAGATTCGTTGCTTTSGCTATATTTGTCAAGATGGTGACTATGCGGTCAGTAAGCTTCGTGGAGCAAGGCCAAAGAGGTAATTTTATCCCACACAGTCAAAACKACTTTTAATTAATGGTTTTTGCTTAGGAACTGAAACATATAAAGGGTTTTAGTTGACAACAATAACTAATCAGTTAAACCTTATCTTTCATGTGGTACACAGTTCAGTTGTTASAAACATAAGATCCGAATATAAATTTATTCTCGAATATATATAAACTTCAAAATGCATTCTCGGACCCAGCGCAAAATGAATTGTCGGAACAATAGAAGCAATCAAAGTAAAATAGGATACAGTATCACTGTAAATTTGAATTACATGGAAWAAAAGCAATGTGTATTCCTAATCTACTTATAGCACGGCGGGACCGTTTAATTTAATTTAGTTTTTGCAGGTTAGATAACTCTCGAGCAAAGATTCATATGAAGTGCTGAGCTGAAATTTGAAATTAAAATAAAAATAAGATTGATTCAAGATTGATTTATTTATTCTCGGCACAGCAGGGARCYACCATCGTTCAAAAAACAAAATAGGCAATCAAMCTTTTTTGGTATTTGTCATTCTCCCGAAAGCCTTTTTTTGTCGAGARCAACCTTGTGTTAATGGTCATTTTTTTGGCCAGTTAAATTCCAAGGTCAAGTAACTGACGAGGATATTGAATCAGGGATTAGATAAGATATTTTAGCTTCAGAGATCCAGAATTTTGGCTTTGGAATGGAGATCACAACGAAGTAATCGAAATCTCTTAAGTATGGAGTCAGTGGGAGAAGTATAGAGGATTATACTCCGAAAAAAAGTCTACTGTCTTTTTTTGATGTAAAGCCCTAGATTCATTGAGCCTTCATTAGTCTTTTTAAAATAAGATAAAAAAAAGAATGTATAATTATATCTCAATTAGCGATCCCAGTTTCATAGTCATTGAGATTCTGAGGGTTCTGAGATGCTGTCCGTTAACTCGTGATTCCGTCTACTCGTTGTCGCTTGTTGTTCTCCATCACTYAAGGACAAAACAGTACAAATATACAACAAAACAGTGTACGTCGAACAAGGCCTGAACTAACAAAAGACAAAGACTGACTTGAGGATGCCWMTTACAAGTSTAAACATGAGGGAAAACTTGAGTAAAATATGGAAAGAATCAAGTGCTTTGTTTACTTTTGTCTTCTCGCGTTTCTTCATCTCGTGAGAATAAAGTCTCCGTATCCCATCTTGTTATGTTTACATTTTACGAATACTAGTCACCACAAAAAGAAACTATATCTATAGCTAAAGATAGCAAGACAAAGAAATCTGAATTGTTTGTCATTTTAATGAAATACTAATCTTTGTTTAATACAGAATATATTTGTAGTTCACTATTGTTCACAGTATTGTGAGGCAAGGAAAAGCCGTGAACGGAGGCAGCCTTGACTTTTTGTGTTTGCACAAGAATATTCTTTTCCATATTTCAAACTACTATTGGTGTTATTTTTCATTTCAATTGTCGAAGTACTTCCCTGTTTGCTAAGTCGTTGTTTACTGTATTTCGCATAAAGGGGAAAAGCAAGAAAAAAAGGAGTTCACTGCTAGAAGGGCTAGGAACCAAGACCATAGTTTAGCGGAAAAGCACTGATTTACCACTTTGGTCATGATCAATCTCCAATTTCTCATTAATGTTCTTTTGTTTTACTTCTGTACGGCAAATCCTGTCCTCAAAGGTCTGTTTTCAGCTATACTTTGACATTTAGCTATTTCACTTTAATGTAACTATTATTCTACTACTRCTATATTTGAATAATTATAACTATATCAAATCAGGTTAGTGAAGACCCAGAAATTGAAATCAGCTAGCCAGCTGAGACAATACTTTAGTTACTTTTTGGTTTATTTATATAACAATAATTTGTTGTCATTGAACACCCGGGCAAGATAAGAACGTTTTCCTACAATACTAGCGATAGGATCATTTTAAAATAATTAAAATCATCATCATTGCCATTGTCATCATCATAAAACATACAACCATTTTATATTGGTTTCACTGTATATTGTTATTAGTTATATAATCGATAATGAATTATTCAGATATTTTATCATCGTTTACCGTCATCACTATTACTCTCCCAACTGAATGATGCTACAAGATCGTGTGATTAGGCTAAATTCTTTTCTTTTTTCAGGAAAAAGTGAAAATATAAAAGACTTCAAGCGAGCTTTGTTGGATGACCCCGACAGTAGCATTACAGACAGAATCATCGTCATCAATCAAGGTATAAATAGCTCCTTCCTCCCCTCCCTAGTCGCATGCATTGTCACAGAAAGTGGAGCTTGACGATGATAAWKTCCGCAGAGAAAGACCAGCAACTAGTAATAGCACTTGAAAAGCAACGTGTTTTTTATTTCTTGATTTGTTGCTTTTCTTTGCGAGCAGTAGATACAAAAGTCTATTTCTCTATCTACTCTACTTGAACAAACTTTTCATCCCTTGCATATAAACACTTTTCTATTTTTATTTTCAAATTACTTTTTTCTCCCTTTTTCTTTTTCCAGAAAGTGGTAGGAAAGGTCTGTTCGAAGGTGATATTGAACTGACGGATCATGATCATGTGGACATGTCTACATTTGGTGATATCGATGGACCAATCAAAACTAACATGAAGAGGAATGCACAGCGGACACGGCAAGGGTTGTGGGTAACACGCAAAGTTCCTTACGTCATCGATGCTAAGATAAYCGGTAAAACAGCTTGAACGTTGGAATGGTKGTAGTCAATACCCTAGAGAGGGGGAGGGAAGGGAGTCAACGGGCTAGAGGGGGGGAAGGGTGGGGAGTCAACAGCTTGTTGAGTGGGGAAGAGTGATGTGTCGACCGTTTGGRGGGTGGGCTAATTATAAAACCRTGAAAATCAACATACACCAAGGTTGGATATTTGTTTGTCCTAGGTCACGAATTGACTGAAGTTCAGAAGGCCATCACAGATTTCAACAAACACTCTTGTTTGCAATGGATTCCTAAACAGGATACAGACAAAAATTGGGTGAAATTTATGAAAGGCAAAGGGTAGGTCAAGATAGTTGATCCTCACGCCAAACTCCTTGCAAGTGCACCCAGCAATCTATGTCATATTCAAATAAATACAT